TACTCCGCTTGACGTCACTTTTAAAATAACACTCAATTTGAAGTCTTTTTTCCGCAGGAAATATTGACTCATTGTCTACACTAGAATTAAATTATAAGGAATGAAGCTAATTTCAACTAATGTTATCCGATATAACAAAACTTGGGGCAGTTTACGCTTTTTTATAAACCGCTTCGCGGTTTATAAAGCGTAAACTGCCCCAAGTTATGTTATATTGGATAGCATAAGTTGAAATTAGCTTCATTCCTTAAATTAAAAAACATGTAAATTGAAGTTGATGAAGCTGGTGTTTTTAAAATTCTAAATGACACATACTTCATTTTGTAGTGTATTTGCCTGTCTGTCTGTCCGTCCGTCTGTAAACAATTTTTCAAAATGCTACTCCTCTTGGTCTGATTTCAATATAACTTAGTACACAAATAGACTACACAAAGATACTTAATTTCTGCATTGTTTTTTTATTTTTGCCTCAGTTACTAAAGATAATATAATAAAATGTTACCTATCCACTTTTTTTTGTCTGATTTCAAAATAACTAAGCTCACGTGTAGATTACACTTAAAGATATCGTTTTTTTGATTTCGATCAACGGTGTCACCGTGGTAAAAAAAATAGACATTTAGAAATTCTATGAAATTCATTCAAAATGCTACTTCTCCTACAGTTTTAGTCAAATTGTAAAATAATCTGGCATACATGTAGACTATTCTGGCATACACTATTATCAGTTTATTGTGTTTTTGAGTTTGTTGATTGATGTTGCCATGGTAACTAAAATTGAACATCTGTAAACTTTTATTGAAAGCTATTACTACATGTACAGTTGTAGTTTTATTGCAATCTTGCCAAAAAATAGACTTAATTAAGGACGGTCATTCTTTTTATTGCTTTTATAAAGCCTTAAGCCCCAATTGCTACCTTTTTATTCCTTATATATATCCTAGTAAGTACGAAAGAGTAGTGCTACAGTCTCGAAAGAGATATATTTTTAACAGAGATATGTTTTTATCTGACTAAAATTAAAATGAACTAGATTTAAATGAATAGTTCCTTTTTTTCGGTACAAGAGAGACCGTCTCTATTAATGCATGTTCTAGTATTCATTTGATGTACATTGGTCCTGTTCCAAAAAAAAGGTTGGACCTTTTTTCTTAAGGTCAGACGACACGTTCCTTAATAATGTTTTATATTTCTTGGAATAAGATAAAAAAATATCCATATTTAGCATTCTCTTCTGATTTCTACATTGTTTTCAAAATTTTTGGAAATATAGTTACACTACAAAATGGTGAGATAGGCCGTTTAGAGTATTATCCATAAGGGTTACATGTATATAAGAAATATGAACTTTGGTATCTTTTCCGAATGGCTTGTAAGGTAGCCCTATTTTTTGCTAGGAATGTTGGTTAAGATAGGATTCTTCTCAGATTTCTTGTATTTAAAGATTAATATAAATTTATTTTTGGCTGAATGGTGGTGTATGAAAATATCTTCTTTTCTGGTTCTCAAAATTTTTATAGAACATTGAATTTAGTTATTATATTTTTACGCAATCAAACACGAGACGAAATTTTCAAATGTAAGTTAAATTAATAATAAAGGACTAAAGTTTCAAAGTATATCAAATAAATAAGATTTTTCACACATATTAGAACTATGTTTGCTTTTAAATGTTTCAAATTCAAGTACAAATTTGAGCCAAAAATCCGTAAAAAGTATTATCTTAGAAAACGATCATCAAAACTATTAGTTTTTGTATCATTTTGTACCTTTATGTGCCAACTTTGCTATATGTGAAAATTGGAAAACCTTAAATACATGTATAGGAATCATATAAGAATAAAAAATATACTAAAATTTAGCAAAAAATAAAGGATATTTGGACTAGTATATATCCATTTTATTGAAATTACCCATGTCAGTTTGGTAATATCTTCTTATAGGCCCTATCTGGTAGTATCTTTTTGTGCAAAAAAAAAATAATCTTTTGAACTGCAATTAGGGATCGCAATACTGGAAACAGTAATTTTTTGCTCTTCTGTCAGAGACTAGAAGAGCTTATGCAATAGTAATGCGTCCGTCCGACTAGCTGTCCGTCTGTCTGTAAACATTTTTTTAAACGCTACCCCTCCTACAGTTTTGGTCTGATTTCAATATATCTTGACACACAAATATACTACACAAAGATTCATAGGATGTTTTATCGGTTTTTGATTTCGATGAACAGTGTTGCCATGTTTACTATTTAAAAATTTAATTTTCTGTGAAATTTCTTTAAAATACTACTTGTCCCACAATTTTTGTCTGATTTCAACATAACTTGGAACACAAGTAGAATACACTAAGATACATAAAAAATGCATCAGTTTTTGATTTTGATGAACAAGGTTTCTGTGAATTTTGGTCATTTGAAAAATTATTTTGTTAAAACAGATTCTGATTGCACACATAAGTACTCTGAAGTTGACATCAAGAAGATGCTTGAGTTTCTGATTGACAATATCTATGTGGTTTTTGGAGACCAGGTATTCCAACAATCTATTGGAATTCCTATGGGTACAAATTGCGCTCCGTTATTAGCAGACTTATTTTTATATTCATATGAAGCAGAATTTATGCAAAATCTTTTAGGTGAAAAAAAGAAAACACTTGCTGTGGCTTTCAACTCGACATTTAGATACATCGACGACGTATTGTCAATAAATAATGATAATTTCCATTCCTACGTCGACACGATATATCCTGATGAGCTTGAGATAAAAGATACTACAGAGTCCGACACTTCTGCTTCATACTTGGATATTTTACTTGAAAAAGACACTAATGGTAATCTAACAACCAAGCTATATGATAAACGTGATGACTTGAACTTTTTTATCGTCAACTTCCATTACCTATGCAGCAATATACCTTCATCACCTGCATACGGAGTATTTTTATCTCAGTTGATTCGATACGCAAGAGCATGCTCTACGTATGAACAATTTCTTAAACGAGGTAAATTATTGACAAGCAAGTCGATGAAACAAGAATATCAACAGTCTCGTTTAAAGTCATCATTTCGTAAATTCTATGGTCGATACAATGACCTTGTCAGCAAATACAATTTATCATTGAATGAAATGCTGACTGACGTTTTTCATACCAATTGTTAGTCCATTATTTATACACTGAATTGACCACGGATTTTTTCCGTTATTTCCTGATTATGACAACGAGCACACGGCGGGTGTGACCGGTCGGCAGGGGATGCTCACTCCTCCATGGCACCTGATCCCACCTCTGATGTTTCGGAGGTCCGTGTTTGCTCTGCTCTTATTTTGTATATTTGTTTTATGGACGTTTAGATTGAATACTGTTCGTTATTTCTATCCTTCTGATGGCAATGACTTCTTTTCTCATCCTTTGTTATAAGTACAAACTTTAAAGGTCAGACGACACGTAAAATACAAAGTTTGGTATATCTAAATATATTTTATATATTTAAGTTGAGTATTAATATCATTGTATCAAATTAAAAGGAATTCAATTGCTTGTTTGCTTCTGTATTTTCAGTAAAAAAAAAAGCTTTTTTAAAGAATTTGAATATTGTTTAATTTTTCCCTTTGGTTGTATGTCTTTATCTAGGCTATGTGACTGTCTGTCTCTTAAATATCCGGAGCTTAACGACGGTCCCTTGACTAGATAAAAAACACAGTAAAACTTCAATAATTACCATTTATATAGCACAAGGGCATATATAAATATTTTGACAATTGATATCGCATTGTTCATGAAAAGTGGATGTGTGTTTCTCTTAGATATAACAAGAGATTTCTAAATTTTATATCATTAAGAGGTGCAACTGCGACGCTTATGATACACTAGTTTGTATCATTAAGCGTCGAATATGTCGATATTTGCTTGTTTCATTAAGCGTCGGTGTTGCACTGCATTTGTGACGCTTAATGATATAAATCTGTCATTAAGGGGCAATTGAGCATTAGCGGTTGATGATGTCAACTATTAATGCAATAATTTATTGCATTAAGCGTTGCAATTGCAACGCTTAATGCTATTTGTATCATTAAGCGGCGTTTTATCATTAGAGGTTGCTCATTTAATATACATTATTTATGGAAATTAACACTTTGCACTCTGTCCATAAGATCTATATGTCATTTACTACGTACACAGACACAAAATTCTTAATTGCTTTTATGGACCTAAATCTTTTTAATTTTCTTTTAAGCAAACTAACCTGAGATCTATTTTTATTGATTTAGAGCCTATATTATCCATTTAATTTTTGTTTTTTTTAAAATTTTGCATTGAATAACTGAAAAAATTTATATTCCAAAAATGGGGGTATACGTCTTTAAGACTGTTTTGTTAAAATTCTCTGGTCAACCATAATAAAGTAGCTGTTTTTGTTAACATTAGATATGATTCTTAATAGTTTTGAAGAAAAAATGACATCTAAACATTTTGGATTTTGAGAAAAAATAAAAATAAAGATATTTTAAGATTTTTTTCTGAAAGACATGGACAGATTCAACACCAATTTGTTAATGTTTTGCAGTAAAGATTTCAAATATTCTCTTGGCAAATGAATATTTTTGATCTTCATAAGTTTTAACATAAATTTGATGTGATTAGGTGCATAACTAAGAGAAATATGATATCACACTTTTTTATGTTCAATTTTGGCTTTTGAGTGTTTAGAGGTATGTGCGCTGAGACATGTTGTATGAAAATTAACCTGCAAAGATACGTCTTTTATGGGTGTTTTAGTAAGTTTAAGACTTGTTCAAGGTATTCAAATTGAAAAATTATCAGTTTGACAGAAAATTCTGAAAGTACGGACCTACTTTAAATCACCAGACAATTGCTTTTCCAAAACAATTATTCAATTAATGAAAATATTTTTCGTGCACTGATGAATACTATTGATATTTAACTTATTCTTGTGTAATAGTGTTAACAAAAATATTGATGAGAAAAATATCATTTGCCTACAGGATGCCGGAACTACGGAATTTACAACCCACACTATCGAATCGCTTAAACAATTCTGTTTTGAACAAATAAAAAAATACGAGATTTACTACGAAACAAATGGGACCCAAACTGAGTCGGTCGTAGACAGGATTGGAAAAGTTGTCTGCCCAAATAATTGTTCGAATAATGGAGTCTGCACTGCAGGTTTGAACTTAAATAATGTATGAGCAAATGTGTGTACCATTTAAAAGCGTTTAAATTGAAATACTTAGGTATAAAGAATAAAAATAAACAATTTAAAAATCTTTTTTTGATTTCTAGGGGTAATGCAAGGAGTTAACATAATATAGAATTTTGACCCATTTGTTTTTAGAAAATTGCTTTAAATAGAACTAAATCTATGTTCGTCACAGGTGTATGTATATGCAGTGCTTCATTCGTTGGTTTTGATTGTTCACACACCAAATCAACTCCTCCCACCAATACTTCCTTACCGGAAAATGGCTTGTGCACAACCAGCAAAAGAGCATGCGCAAAAACAAACATTTACGGTTACTTTTTAGAGGAAAATATCCATGTGAAATTTAATTTCTTTGAGGTATGTTTTATGTTTTATGGAAATATTTATTAGAAGTATTAATTGATTCACTTTAAGCTTCAAGGGCTTACTCAGATATTTATCTATTTTTAAGTAAATTAACTTATAAAGAAAAAGTCTCAAGCATGGAAATAGGTCCCTTATCTTTATATTTCAGTTTATTTTATAGATTAATTTAGTTTTGAAAAATTGTAAAAGTTCTTAATTTATCTAATCTTTTTTCTTAGATAACAGATTCAGGAAAATCAGCAGTGCTATCTACACACACAACAATTGGTACATATATTGGGCTAACTATCATAAAGGCAGACTTTCCTATTAATTCACGTAGGAAAAGATCATCATCTGCAAATGTTTACGGCAATGGATTTGATATCAATCTCTCCTATGACGGCGTCAATTATGGTGACACAATGACCCTTATCATATATAATGATGAGTGCTTCAACTGTAATGCATCAACATTCGAATGCACTTTGAAGGTAATTTTTTGAAATCATTTGAAAAATGCTGAAAAAAGTACATTTTTATAATAGTTTGTAACAAAATTAACGTGTTTTTTATTTTCTACAACATCCTTGCCATAATATATTCTAAAAGGAAAGCTGATAAAGTCTTACGGAATAATTTGCGTCATGATTTTCAAAGTTCCTAATATAATATCAATTTTATCATCACACTTTATATATTATATATCTTATATAAATGTGTTCATTAAAAACATCAACTAATATTACATGTATAACTATAAAAACTGATATTTCTTTTGTTTGCAACACAGAACTATCCACTCATCCCAATGTTATTTACAATTCAATGATTAGAACTATTTTTATTTCATATTTTCTTTCATTTGCTACATGTATATGTTATTTCCCACTATAGCAATCTTGTCCAACAACAACAGCAACAACAACAGAGCAAACCACAACTGGTGCCAGAAGTACAGGGTCATCAACTGTTCAGATTCCACCCACAAAACAAGGAGGTGGACGGAGGCAGCCACCAGAAAAACCAGAATCTAATGAAGAAGAAAGTATGTTCAAATTTAAAATTACATGTATTTCTATCAGAAAAACATACTGGTATATCCTTTGTCGTAATACCCAGTACTTTCTCTTTTCTATTCTTCTCAACATGTAAATGGTTTTTTCATATGAGCTTATAAAACACAGGTATACGTACATTGTAGATGTCCATTTGGGTTTGATAATTACACTAATTGTACTCTCCCTCCTTATTCTGGCTGTCGTCAGCGCTCTACTGTATATGAAGTTGCGACCCTCAAGGAAATCGAGGTATTACAAAACGTTATTACAATTTTTTTTTCTTTATGAAAACTACTGTCAAAAATATGTTTGTGGTGGGTCAATGTTCTAGAATTTCGTTGGTCACCCTTATCTACGAAGCCGTATCCTCGCTCACAATTACTTTCTAAATATATTTATTTATTGAATTTCTGTATGTACAAGTTACGAAGGAAATAAAATCCCCAAGAACCAACAAAATATTGCTATCCAAAGAAAATTAACCGAAATGAGATGATTGCAAATAAATACAAAGAAAACAAATTATTAAAGAAAAAAAATTATTTATATTTTGTATTGTCTGAGTCAAAACATTTATATCCACATTTTCTTTCTCTTACGTCTCTTAAGTCCAATGACCTATGGCACCAGCACTGTTGAATGTAGTCAACCACCTCGTCAACATTACGAAACCATATCACAGGGTCGCCCTCCATCCCCGCCTCCTAGGTATGACACAATTACCGGTAGTCCTCTTCAAGGCAGCAACAAAACTACTGAACCACCAGAGTCTCGTCCACAAACAGCTTCTGGTATTCACGTGGACTTTACAAACAAGGCTTACAGCAATCAATAAATCAATGATCTCAATTGTGTTGTTTTTGGATGATCACATGTGACATAACTCAAACCTTTTTTTTTCTTTGTTTTAATTGACTTTGAGCTAATAAAGACTATTCGTTTTAATCAAATTAAATTGTATAAAGTTTCGCTTTTTGGACCACAAAAGATAATTTTACATTTATATACCAATAAGAAATGGATTATGTTTCATAGGTTTATTTTTGGTATTAGTAGGGACAATGTTGAAGCTGTTGCAGAAAAAGACAAACCACGTATCTGTAATAGTTGCAACATAAATCAATGTACCATTACTATATATATAACAAACAAAGAACAATTTTTTTTTAATTTTATCTATATAAATACTTTTTAAAGTCAGAAAATATTGGTTATTTATTATAGAAATGTGCATTATTGTATTTTTTATCGATGTAACAGTCGTTTCCTAAAGAATTCTACCAAGGTTGCTTGATCTGCGACGTTAAATACTGACTGATCAACATTCGTCTAACGTTTGTATGTTAAACACGAACAATATAGTAATCATGTGCCTTCCTAATACTAACCTTACTAAATGGAAGTTTTGAAATGCATAATTTTACTGCAGTTTAAGAGATTTATGTTTGCTGTGCTACTAATTTGTATTGTTAATGTTAGAACTGACTTTAAAAATTGAATGAGGTTCGTTATATCCTTATTTTATTTATTTATTTATTGATTGATTTTTCGTTGGTTTTTTTTTGGTTGTTAAAATAAAGTTCAACTAATAATTATCATGTGATTAAATTTTGACCGCTTCTTCTATACTAGTTATATGGTCATTTTTTGAACTCAAGATCAAGATCATACTTTATGAACGATTACTTGGTTCTTGTATCGACCCTGCTAGGAAATGTAGCCTATCGTTGAGTATTTTTTGCACTGAATTTTAAATAACAACTGTTTTTATGTAAATTATTCACCTCAAGGAAAGAGAATTTTATTGTAATGAAGCTTTCGGGTCCTTTAGATGAGACCTTTTTATAAAATAAAAAAAGAAACAAAGAAACCAAAAAAAAAAAAAAAAAACACCCTGTGTTACGACAGGCGTTGGCACGATAAATATATCTTACAGTCCAGTGATTCTGTTCAATGCTAAATAATAATCAATTTTTTTTGTTTTTTTTTATTGAATTCAAGTTTACATATATCTTATTTTCTCCGACTAACCAATTACAGATTTTAATTTCTAAACAATTGACATCGTTTCGACAAAGTAATCGTATAACCGGTTACATGCTCCCATCCATAATATAATACCAAAACAAGTATATATAACTGAGTGACACTTGTCAGACACCAAAGGGACAGAGTGTTTATGTCCAAGGACCTTTTAATCACTTCCAAACAACTTGTAATTATTTAATTATTGGCTTTCTTTGTGTCCATATCATCAAAGCATTTCCTTCATTGTTCACTGTATCACTTTTACTCATTGTCAACACCTGTCATTTTTAACTCATTGTTCATTTTCCCATAAATACAATTGTCAAATTTTACCTAGCAGTTCGGAGGCCCGACGCATTACTGGCCACTTCCGTCTGTGTTCCCCGTTTGTATTTCTTGAATGTTAAAATTGTTGTCCATCATTTAATTACATGTATTTATTAATAAACTCGGAAACCAGATTACTCGTTACTTTGGACCTTTATATGTGTTATCGGGAAGAGTCCTTGGAATACTGCTCTTCTACTTCCGACCAACGACGCCACTCACTTCCCCTGCCAATATTGCAGATGGATAAAACGTACGCTGAACAAGGACCTTAGGTCCCCTGCTCAGTGTCACGACTATCGGGCCTGTTTACTCCGCTACAAAATGTAGTGCTTTGCATACGTAAAGTGAAAATAGAATAAATCGTAATACTGTGAAGCCTTTACAGTGTAAAACAAACAACTTCTTAAAAGGAATAACCATCTGATGGGTATTAGAAAAGATAAAGGGGGTGAAGGGTGGGTGCTGAGCAACATTAACTGCAATTTTATACGATATATGATATATATGCGTTTAACATTTATGGATTACGATAGGTGACCTGTGGTCTCCCCTATGATTTTATTCCATGTAAGGTTATAGTATCTATGTCACACAGTGCCTAACCTCTGATCTCCTTACTAATAAGGCGACTAAGAGTAAACGACGTCAAGTCTCTGCATTCGCAGATCTCTAACAAGTAGGGGGAGGAGGAAGATGTTTCCCCTTACCACCCCCTACCTCTTAATTTCGCTCGGACTTTTCACCGATCCTTTAACATAATGGAATAATTATTTGTTAAATTATTTAATGTCTCCTTCTTCTTCTTCCTTATGAGGTCATGATTAAATTGGCGACCTCATCACTTTAACATTTTTTAGTAAACCTCCGATTTTATTTATTTTACAAAGAAGATGTACCCACTGTATTTCAAAGTTTTGGGCTGCATCGAGTTCTCATCCCCTTTCCCTGGAATTAACACATCAAATTCATGAACTACATTAAAAAAAAAGAAAGAAAAATTTAAAAATGCACCAATTGTTATTTACTTTTGGGATACATATACGGTATTTGAAGACAAGCAAGTTGACCAATCCTCCAAATTCCAATTACATACATTTAGAGAACTAGGAGATATTGTGCACTTTTTTCCCAGTCAAAAAATTAGTGTCAACTGTTTTTTGGAGAGGATATAAAAAATAATTCTACACATACCATGATTTTAAATTATTTCCTACTTACAACTTTCAGCCACATCGTAACAATGTACAACATAAGATTACCTTTGTCTCATTCATATGCTATAATTTGTGAAGTATGAAATCCTTATTGATGTACAATATATATGTTGTACTTGTTCCCATAATCTTTATGCTGATACCAGAGGTAACAAAAAGTTAATAAGACCAGGTGTTATCTTCTGTTCTACATCATATGGGGATACAGAGGTCACCTTATATTGTACATCAGTAGAAGGACCAGAGGACACCTTAAATTGTACATCATTAGGGGAGCCAGAGGACACCTTATATTGTACATCAGTAGGGGGACCAGAGGACACCTAATATTGTACATCAGTAGGGGCACCAGTGTGTCACCTTATATAATACATCATTAGGTTGAACAGAAGTCACCTTATACTGTACATCAGAAGGGGACATCAGTAGGGGGACCAGAGATCACCTTATAATCTACATCAGTAAGGGGACCAGAGGGCACCTTATTGTACATCAGTTGGGGGACCAGAGGACACCTTTAATTCTACATATGTAGGGGGACCAGAAGACAACTTATATTGTACATCTGTAGGGGACAACAGTAAGGGGACCAGAGAACACCTTATATTGTACATCAGTAGGGGGACCAGAGGTCTACTTATATTGTACATCAATAGGGGGACCAGGAGTCATTTTATATTGTACATCATTTGGGGGACTAGAGGTAACCTTATATTATACATCATAAGTTGACCAGAGGTCACCCTATATTGTACATCAGTAGGAGGACCAGAGGTTTTCACATGGGGGACCGGAGGTCACCTCATATTGTACATCAGTAGTGGGACCAGTGGTCACCTTTTTATGTACATCAGTATGGGAACCAGAGGTCACCTTATATTGTACATAAGTCGGGGGACCAGAGGTCACCTTATATTGTACATCAGTAGGGGGACCAGAGGTCACCTTTAATTGTACATCAGTTACCTGGACCAGAGGTCATCTTATATTGTACTACAGTAGGAGGACCAGAGGACACCTTATATTGTACATCAATAGGGGTACCAGAGGTCATATTTTAAATCAGTAGGTGGTCCAGAGGTCATCTTATATTGTACATAAGTAGGGGGACCAGAGGTAACCTTATAATGCACTTTACATAAGAAGGGGGAACAAAAGTTATCTTATACTCTAAATCAGTAGGGAGACCAGTAATCATCTTATTTGTACATCAGTAGGGGGCCCAGAGGACACCTTATATTTAACATCAGAAGGGACATGGGTAGGGGGACAAGAGGTCACCTTATATTGTACATCAGTTTGGGACCTGTGGTCACCTTATATTGAACATCAGTAGGGGAACAGAGAACACTTAATATTACACTTTAAATCAATAGGGGGACCAGAGGTAACCCTGTATTGTACATCAGTAGGGGGACCAGAAATCACCTTATATTGTACATCAGTACGGGGAACAGAGGACACCTAATATTACACTTTAGATCAATAGGGGGACCAGAGGGCATCTTATATTGTACATCAGTAAGGGACAACAGTGGGGGACTGAGGTCACCTTATATTGTATATCAATAGGGGGACCAGAGGTTACCTTATCTGTACATCAGTAGGGGGACCAGAGGACACCATATATGACATTGGTAGGGGGGCTAGGGGTCATCGTAAAATTGTACATCAGTAGGGGGACATTAGTAGGGGACCCAGAGGACACCTTATATTTTACATCAGTAGGTGACTTCAGTAGGGGGACCAGAGGTCACCTTATATTGTACATCAGTAGGGGGCCTGTGGACTTTACATCAATAGGGGAACCAGAGGTAACCCTGTATTGTACATCAGTAGGGGGACCAGAGGTCACCTTTTATATTGTACATCAGTAGGGGGACCAGAGGTCACCCTGTATTGTACATCAGTAGGGGGACCAGAGGTCACCTTATATTGTACATCAGTAGGGGACCTGTGGACATTTAATATTACACTTTATATCAATAGGGGGACCAGAGGTAACCCTGTATTGTACATCAGTAGGGGGACCAGAGGTAACCCTGTATTGTACATCAGTAGGGGGACCAAAGGTCACTTTATATTGTACATAAGTAGGGGGACCAGAGGACTCCTAATATTACACTTTAGATCAATAGGGGGACCAGAGGGCACCTTATATTGTACATCAGTAAGGGACGACAGTAGGGGGACTAGAGGTCACCTTATATTGTATATCAATAGGGGGACCAGAGGTAACCTTATATTGTACATCAGTAGTGGG